GACCAGTCCGCCTCCGGCGCGGCGGGCGCGCCGCCGCCGCCGAGGGGCCGCCGCCGCTTGTGCCGCTTCTTGCCGCCGACCTGCGCCGTCGCGCCCGCGTCCTGGCCCAGGCATTCGAGCAGCGCGTCGTAGCACGTCTCCCTCTCCTTCTTCGGCGGATGAGGGTCGTAGGTCCACTGGAGCCAGAGGAGCACCTGGCCGCTGAAGGACGTGCCGTCGTCGCGCGTGCCCGAGAGCGCGAACCACTTCTTCTTGGGCTTGCGGTCCGCGTAGGGCCCGAGCTCGACCCGGAACGAGCCCATGGGGTCCGCGCGGCCGACCGCGTCCCAGTCCTCGACGAAGCACGTGAGCATCGGGTTCTTGCCCGTGAGGCGCATGGCGTAGATCTCCTTCCACACGGGGCACGTCGTCTGCTTGCGCGGCGTCGACCTGTGTGGAAACCAACCACTGGTTTGGGGGGTCCCCACCAAACTTCAGAACTCTCTATCTCAATCAAATCGAAGTCGATTCGGCTGATTTTTGGACGGATCGATTGCTCTCGTCGAGTTCTCGAAGCACAGCGAAAGGGTCTGGTCCAAATCGTTCGATTACGCGCACATTGAAGTCGGGTTGAAGATTTGATTTCCACACAGGCGTCGACGTCGCGCGGCAGTTCGCGCGGCCCTCGACCTCGAAGCGCGCGCGCGGGTCCGACGACGCGCGGTCGACGCGGCTCAGGTCCTTGGCGCGGAAGACGCCGATCTTCAGGCAGTTGGGCTTCTGGTCCGGGAAGCCGACGGCCTTGCCGAAGGGGTCCCAGCCATCCTTTTCGGGGTCATAGCGCCAGCGGAGCACGAGCTCGACGTCGCCGGAGATGGGCGCGAGCGGGTCGTCGTCGTCGAAGTAGCCGTCGCTCGCGTCCGCGTAGGCCGGCGTCTTCTTGAGCGCGTACCATTTCTTCGTCCGCTTCCGGTCGCGGAGCGGCGCCAGGTCGACGGCGCAGTGGCCGAGGTCGTCCGCGTCCCCGGAAACGTCGTAGTCCAGAAGCCGCACGACGAGCCGCTGGGGCTCCCGCTCGCCCGCGGGGTCGTCCGGGAAATCCTCGTCGCCGTCGGACTCGTCGGACTCGTCGGCCTGCAGATCGAAGGAGAAGATCTCGTTCCACTGCGGGTCCAGGTTCTTGTACTTGACCGTCGACCGCCTGTGCCGAAACCAACCACTGGTTTGGGTGGTCCTGACCAAACTTGAGAATTCTCTAGCTCGGTCAAATCGAAGTCGATTCGGCTGATTTTTGGACGAATCGATTGCTCTTGTCGAGTTCTCGAAGCACAGCCGAAAGGCTTGCGTCGAAACTGTCGCGTAAGCGCACATTGAAGTCGGGTTGAAGATTTGGTTTCGGCACCGTCGACCGCTTCTCGCCGTCCGCGCCGGCCACGGAGAAGATCACGAAGGGGTCGCTCGAGCCCTCGCCGTAGAACTGGGCCTTGTCCTTGACCGCGAGCTCGCGCGCGCGCGCGAGGCCGACGTCGAGCACGTTCGGCAGCAGGGCGTCGCCCGACGCCGCGTAGGCGTCGGGCTCCCCGAAGGGGTCGAAGTCGTAGGCCTCGCCGCGCGCGGCCGCGCGCTGCTTCGCCTCGGACGCCTCCTTCTGCTCCATCTTCGCGAAGTGCGTCTGGTAGAGGTCCCAGCCGCGGACGATGACGTCCATGACCGTCGTCACGAAGTGCTCGATGGTCATCATACTCGTCACGAGCTTGCCCGACGTCTTGTAGAGCAGCGGCAGGCTGTCCGTGTTCGTGAGCACGTCGTAGCCGGAGTAGAGCACGTTGCCCAGCGCGAAGGGGTTGCAGCTCGCGGCCATGAGCGTCTTGTACATGATGGACACGATCTTGCCCGCCTCGGAGATCGCGTCCGTGATCGTGGGGACCATGCCGACGACGACGGACATGGCCTCGACGGCGCGCTTCCACTCCGTGGCGACGATCGTGAGGTCCGCGGCGAGGACGAGCATGTTCGACGCGGTGTAGAACGACGACTCGAGGTCCGTCTTGACGGAGTCGACGGCGTCCTCGATGAAGTCGGGCGTGAGGTAGCTCAGGAGCGACTCGTTGCGGCCCGCCTTGTGGTTGGGGTCGATGGCGGGGTTGTACCACCACTTGATGACCAGTTCCACGTCGCCCGTGACGTCGTCCGCCTTCTCGCCCTTGACGCCCGCGGGCCCGAGCGCGAACCAGCGCCGGTGGTCCTCGCGGTCGTCGAACTGGGCCAGGGGCACGACGAGCTTGCCCATGACGTCGTGGCTCCCGACGGCGTCGTGGTCGAGCACGACGACCTCGAGCTTCTGCGCGGACGGCGCGTCGACGTCCGGCGCGAGCGGGAGGTCGAAGACCTCCTTCCACACGGGGTTCAGCGCGTCCTCGCGGTGGCTCGTCTCGCCGCGCGTCTTCTCGTCGCCGCCGGCGACGTTGACGCGCGCGAAGGGGTCGCTGCTCTTGGGCTCCTTGGAGAGGAGCGCCTTGTCGACGGCCGCGAGGCCGCGCGCGCGGTGCACGGCGACGCGCAGCTCGTTGCGCGGCCGCTCCTGGAGCAGCGCCTGGTCGTCGCCGGGGAAGGGGTCCCAGGTCTCCGCGTCGCGAGACCAGTCGTAGACCCAGCGGTAGACGAAGAGGAGCTCGCCCTGGGCCCCGTCGCCGAGCTCGCCGCGCGGGTCGCCGAGCTTGGCCCAGCGCCCGCCGGCGAGGTCGTGGGGCTTGACGGTCACCGCGACCTCGCCGAGGAAGTCGTGGCTCCCGATCTGGTCGTGGTCCTCGACGACGGCCCGGAGCTCGAGGGCCCAGTCGGGGTCCGGCGACGCCGCGAAGACGAAGGGCTGCTTCCACGTCGGGTTGAGCTCCCTCTCGACGACGCGCGACGTCGCCGAGAGCTCGCCGCGCGTCTTCCCCGCTTTGACGACGAAGCGGACCTGGGGGTCGCTCCACTTCTCGGAGCCGAAGAGCTGGCTGTCGACGGCTTTGAGGTTCCGCGCGCTGTGCAGGCCGACGCGCAGGAAGTTCGGCGGCGCCGTCGGGTGCAGCGTCTCGCCCTCGTAGCTCGCCAAAAAGTCGGCGTCGAGCTCCTTGAGGTCCCTGGGGCCGGCGAGCGCCGCCTTGGCGCGGTCCTCGAGGCTCATGCGCTTCTTCTCGCGGCGCGCCTCCTCGACGTACTGCGTCATGTCGATCTCTTCGTCGTCCTCCTCGACGGCGAGCTCGACGCACTCGTCGTCGTCGGCCATCGCGCGCGACGCGCCGGCGCGACGTCCGCCGAAGCTCAGAGCCGCGCTCGAGTCGCAGGCTGCCTTCCACTCGGGCAGCCCCACATCGTGCTTGCTCTCCGACGGCACGTTGATGTGCTCCCACAAACTTTTACAGGCCGCCGCTGGGGAGGTCGTCCTGCCACTTGGGCCATGTGCGCTCCTTGGCGGGTCGCGCGCGGACGCGACCGACGAAGGCGCGGACGAAGTCGCGCTGGGCCTCCGTCTGCGGCGACCGCTTCAGCTGGCCGGGCATCGTCGACGCGCCGAGGCGGCTCGAGTACGCGGCCTGGACGACGTCGAGGACCTCGTCGCCGTCGAGCTCGGGGAAGAGCAGCGAGAGCGCGCAGGCGCCGACGGTGCCCGCGCGGCCGCGGCCGCCCCAGCAGTGGACGTAGACCGCGTCGCCCGGCGCCGCCTCGAGGCGCGAGAGGACGCCGTCGAGCGCGGCGACGAGCGCGCCGTCGTCGGGCACGTCGAGGTCGACGATGGGGCTGTGCAAATAGGCGACGTCCGCGCCGGCGCAGGCCGCGTAGTTTTCGAACGCGGCGGGGAACCGCGCGCGGTCGCGCGCGTCGGGCAGATGCACGCCGCCGGCGGGCCACGCGGCCGCGTCGTCCTGCGGCGGCAGCTCCGCCTGGAGCTGGACGAAGGTCCGCACGCGCGCGCCGCCGACGAGCGCCCGCACGTGCGCCTCGCACTCGGCCGCGCTCGGCCCCGGCACCGCGGGCTGGCGGTGCGGGTACTGGCCGAGCATGATCTTCCCGGGGACGAGCCAGTTGCTGAAGCTCCGCGGGCCCGCGCTGCCGGTCTCGGGCTCGCCGCCCTGGAAGACGGAGTCGAAGAAGAAGTCCGACTCCGACGGTGGTGCTCGCAGGTTCCAGGTTTTGCGGAGCGCCTGGGCCCTCTTGCCGAGCGTCTCGACGGTCTGCAGCGCCGCGGCCAGGGGCATGGCGAGGACGACGGCCGCGCGCATGAAGGTCGTTTGCTCTAGGCTGCGATGCTTGCTCTGCTACGACGCGCTGCGACTCCTAGCAGGTCACGCTCATTGCCACAAGAGCTTGCTTCAATTCACATGCAAGCATGACCTCGATGCCTTTTTTTATCGGCTGCCCCGACCGGAACACAAATGGTGGAGGCGCCGGCGGGCGGCGCGGCGCCGCGGCCTCGGCTGCGGTACCGGCCGCGGGTGGCGGCGAACCCCTTCGCGGCGCGCGGCGGCCTGCGGTCGCCGAAGTCGCCGACGAAGAGTCCGAGCCAGTTCGCCGTCGAGCGGCCGCTGGACTGCGCGCCGCCGGCGCCGCCGTCGCCGCTCGGCGACCGGCGGCCGAGCCTGGACCGGCTGCCGCCGCAGCCCGACGCGCCGCCGTCGCCGCGGCGGCGCGAGGAACACCGGCGGCCCTTCGGCCGTTCGCCGAGCGGCGGGCGGCTGGGCCCGCCGCTCGCGCTCGAGCTGCCGCTCGTGCCCGCGGGCGGCGACGGCCCGTCGACGCCCCTGTCGCCGCTCAAGAGCCCGTCGTTCTTCGCCGACGCCTTCGGCGAGGCCTGGGCCGCGCCGCCGTCGCCGGCGAAGGCCGCCGGGCGGCGCACGGTCTACCTCTCGGAGGTCGTCGACGAGGCGCCGCGCTACGCGGACTGGAGCGAGGCGCCGTCCTGGCTCCAGGAGGACGTCGACTACTACTCGGACCCGGAGAACAAGACGCCCCTCCCCTTCCTGCTCCGGGGCGCGGACTCGCCCGCGCTCCGCATCCTGCAGGGCAGCAAAAGAGAGCGAAATTCCCAACTTCAAAGGCTCATATCTCGGCCGTTTTCCACTCGTTTCGGCTGATTTTTGGACGAGCGATCATCTCTCGGAACGGCCTCGAAGCGTGGATGCTTTTTTTCCGGAACGCGCGCGCGCGGAACACTCACGTTGAAGCGACGTTGAATCACCCTTTTGCTGCCCAGGCATCCTCTTCAACCCGCCGGACTACCCGCCGCCGCGGAGGGACGGCTCGAGCCGGCTCTGGCCCTGCGCCATCGTGAGCTCCGGCGGCGCCTACGAGGGCATCTCCGTCGCCGAGGCGCGCCACGGCACGGGCTGGCTCGCGTCGCTGGGAGTGGTGGCGTTCGCCTTGCGCTACCGTTTGCCGCCGAAGCACCCCTGGCCCGCGGCCCGGGACGACGTCGCCGCGGCCGTCGAGTTCCTGCGGAGCCCCGCGGCCGCGGCCAAGTTCCGCGTCGACCGCGACCGGCTCGTGCTGCTCGGCTTCTCCGCGGGGAGCCACCTCAGTGCGCACGCGCTCGGACCGGGCGTCCGGGCCGCGGTGCTGGTCTACCCGGCCTGGGCCGACGCCAAGGACGACCAGGGCAGGCTCGTGCGCACGGCGGACCACGCGGAGCGCGAGGCGCGGAAGCTCGGCGACGACCGCGCGCTCCTGCCCGACGTCTACGTCGTGTCGTCGACGACGGACTGGGTCTGCTCGCCGTCGGCGCACGGCGACCGCGTCGTCCGCGAGCTCAAGCGCTGCGGCGTCCACGTCCACTACCAGCGCGAGAATTTCGGCGCCCACGGCTTCTCCTGCATCCCGGAGTGGACGGACCCGTGCGCGCGCTGGCTCCGCGCGCGGCTCGCCATCGGCGAATGACGGGGAACGGGGCGATTGGATCGCGCCGGCCCCCCGCTTCGTCTTATGTGGTGCACGGCTCAGACGAGGGCCCAGCGCGGCGAGTCGGCCGGCGGCGGCGCGTAGCCGTCGACGGGCGGCCCGCCGTGGACGTTCGACGCGAGCGTCGTCGAGAACGCGCCGCCGCCGCGGCCGCGGGCGACGGCGAGGCGCCGCTTCGCCGCCGTCGCGTCGTCGACGTCCGCGCGCGGCGCGCAGGCGACGTAGGCGACGAGGCGCGCGAGCGCCGGCTGGTCCGCGACGCCGCGGAGCGCGAGGAGCTCCGCGGGCTTGGACGCGTCGCAGCCCGCGGAGCAGTGGACGACGCGCGAGTCCCAGATGGCGACGTCGCCGGCGCCGAGGGGCGCGACCTGCACCGCGCGCGCCGCCGCGTAGAGGCCGTCGTGCCGCGCCGACAGGCGCGTGAAGTTGCCGCGCGCGGTCTTGCCGCCCCGCTCGCAGTTGTCGCGGTAGTCGCCGTGCGACCCGGGCACGACGACGAGCGAGCCGCTGTGCTCGTCGGCGGGCGTGAGCTGCACGAGGCCCTGGAAGCCGACGCGGTCCGGCGTCTTCGCGAAGTTCTGGTCGATGTGGTACCACTTGCCGTCCGTCGCGACCTTTGATCCGGCGTGCGCGGCGTGGTGCGGGTTCCGCCACGCGCCGCAGCCGTCGAGGGAGCAGACCATGGGCTCGTCGTCCCGCAGGCCCAGGACCGTGCGCCAGCACGCGAGCACGCCGGGGCACAGCCGGAGATGCCAGAGGAAGTCGGACTGGCCGACGGCGCCGCCGGCGAGCACGCCCGTGTTCGCCCAGCCGAGCGCGCCGAGCCGCGCCGTCGTGTGCGTCGCCGGGTCGCCGCGCGCGAGCCCCGGCGCCGCGCCCTCGAGCCAGGCCCAGAACAGATCCTCGGCCCGCGCGACCTCGGCCGGGCTCGCGGCGCCGCGGAAGACGACGCACCCGTGGACGTCCAGGAGCCGGCGGCAGCCGTCGACGTCGCCGACCTCGGCCACGGGCGTCGCGGCGCCCCAGGCCGGCTGGCGCCGCGCGAGGAGCGCCGCGAGGTACGCCCGCGCGCCGTCCGCGGCGGCCTCGGCGTCGCGCGCGTCGCGGCGCCGCGCCTCCGCGGCCGCGGCCGCGGCGCGCGCCGCGCCCTCGAGCGGCGCCGCGCCGTCGACCCAGGCCGCGAAGCCGAGCAGCTCCGCGAGGGGCGTCACCTCGACGGCGCCCTCGTCGGCCGGCGCGTCGAAGCCGCGGGCGTCGAAGTCGTAGTAGGACCCGCAGAGCGCGCCGATGTCCTCGTCGAAGTAGACCTCCTCGACGCGCCACCGCACGCCCTCGTCGGCGAAGACGCGCCCGGCGTAGGCCAGCTCCTCGTCCGTCGCCTCCGTCGGCGGCGGCGGCGGCGGCGGCGGCGGCGGCGCGGGCGGCGGCGGCGGCGCGGGCGGAGCCGCGGGCGTCGGGGAGTTCTCCGGCGGCGCCTCGGGCGGCGGCGGCTTCTCGGGCGTCGTCGCGCGCGGCTTCTTGGCGGCGCCGGCCGCGGCGCTCGCGGCGCGCTTGCGCGGCGTGCCGCCGGACAGCGACGCGAAGGCCTCCGCGCGCGAGCGATGGCGCTTGCCGCGCCCGTCGACGAGCACGACGGTGCCGCCGTCCTTGCCGCGGCGATAGCTGGACCACGACGCCAGCGACGCGACGAGCGCGTCCGACGCGCCCTGCTTGGCTGCGTAGGTGGCGAATTTTGCGAGGTCGAGTTCACTCTGCGCGGGTGCGGCCATGGGAGCTTGCACGCGCTGCGGAGACGCAGGCTCGTCGAGAGTCAAGGCCATAGGAGCTTGCACGCGCTGCGGAGACGCAGGCGCGACGAGAGTCAAGGCCCATGCGAGAGCCCTCAACCAAAGAGACTGAAACTGCACTCAAAGCCGTGTTGCCCTCGATCGTGTTTCTCATCCATGAGCATGGGCAGCCCCTGAAAGAGCACACAAGAGCCGCACCGTCCCCATGTGGTGCTGCACGCGGGGCCGGCCCAAGGCCGCGGCGTCGACGCCGAGCGACGCGCCGCCGCTGGCGCCGGGCGACATCTCGCTGAGCCCGCGCGCCAGCGAGCCCCTCAAGCGACTTGAGGCGACGCGCGAGGCGCTCTTCGACGCCGTCGAGGCCGACGACGGCGCGCTCGTCGAGAGCCTCCTCGCCGCCGGCGCCGACGCCGACGAGGCCGACGGCGACGGCTACACGGCGCTGCTGCTGGCCGCGGAAGAAGGCGGCGTGTCCTCGTGCGCCGCGCTCCTCGCCGCGGGCGCGGACGCGGCCGCGCGCGACTCCTACGGCCGCACGGCGCTCTACGCCGCGGCCGTGAGCGGCAAGCTCAACACCGTCGACGCGCTCCTCGCCGCCGGCGCGGACCCGTCCGCGCGCGACTCCGAGGGCCGGTCCTGCCTCTGGGCCGCGTGCGCGACGCAACACGTCGACGTCGCCGCCGCGCTCCTCGACGGCGGCGCCCAGATCGACGCGCCCGACGCCAAGGGCACGTCGCCCCTCCAGCACGCGACGGCGAGCGGCTTCGCGGAGGTCATCGCGCTCCTCGCGTCGCGCGGCGCGAGCGACGACGACAAGGGGCGCCTGTCCATGTGAGTCGGACTTAACGGCTCCGGGAGGCGTACGCGCTGAGTCGGCCGGGCGCCGCCGACGGCGCGCCGCGGGGGGGGGGGGGGCGCGCGGATCTGTGCGCGCGTCGAGGCGTGCGCTGCGCCGCGGCCCTGGCCGCGGCGTCGCGTCGCGCGCTCGGTGTCCGCAGTCGACGCCAAGCCTTGCACACGAGCTCCGCCGCCGTCTCGCGCGCCGACGCCTCGAGCACCCGG